GATCTCCCTGAGGGTCCCTTTGCCTGCTGCATCCAGGGGGTGTGGTGCCAGTGGTGGGGGACACCCCAGGTACCTGCATCGGGCCAGAGCCAGGCAGCCGGGGTCCTGCCTTCCCACAGCAAAACCAGCTCCCAAAATGCAGTTCCCAGTGCCCAAAGGACCCAGTCAGGAGACACCTGTGGCACAGCAGGAGGTACGAGGGCCATTTTTTTGCCTCTTTCATTCTGGAAAGTGCTTTGCTGCGGGTGAAATGTTTTCGGGCTGAACTCATCACCTCCGGGCTTTCGCATGCTTGCTATGGAAAAGGATGTCACGGAGCCCAGGCTGTGGCCAAGCTATCTTTATCCAGGGTTATGCAGCCCTCTATTCTATTGCATTGTGTGGCATTTTCTCAGGATGGATCCTGGCTCTGGGCCTAAAACAGCAGGACACAGAATCCAAGTCAGCTGGCGTTCCTGAAGTGGACGGTGTCAGGGCAATATCTCAGCTCTCCTTGAAACCTTTCCTCTGCTCGGGAGGAGGAAAAATAATGCTGTTATTGCTGCTGGAGCTTGGTGCCGTGGGAACAGCGTGATAATCTCCCTGCTGCTTCTCTCCCATCCCTTTTTTGTTGTTGTTGTTGTTGATGGTGCTGCATGCTTCCATGGGCAGGAGTTTTCTGAGGAGAGGGCACAGCCGCCACTTCCCACTGCGGCCTTGGATGGAAAACCCCAAACCTGAGCTGGGTGTTGGGGTGCCAAGGGCTGGGCTGTGGGAGGCCTGGAACATCCCTGATGGTCACCAGGCTTGGGCTCCAGCTGCCATCTGCTGGTCACCTCTGTCTGGTCACCTCAGTAGAGCAGAGGACACATGGCCAGTGAGATGTCCCTTTCTGGGCATATCTTTTTCTGGGGATACCTTCTGCCAGCCATTTCCCATTGCTACTGTTGCCTCTGGTGATACCTGCCTTGGGGCTCCAGTTCTTTTCAAATCACTTTAAAATGCTTTTTCTCCCCGGTTTTATCCAGATACGAAGGATGCTGAAGGGAGGCTGTTTCCTTTTGGTGGGCACAAGGATTTTTTTCCTGCCTGCTCCCTGCCTGTGCCCGCCCCACCGGGATGAAGTCAGCTCCTCTTGAGTGGCCTCGTGCCACATCCAGGTGCCAGCTGCCGGTTTCACCAGTCTTGCCCAAGTCCCCACAGGAGCTTTGCAACGCTTCTCTGGTGGTTCATCACCCCCTGCCTGCTTTTGGGGAGCAGCTGGCAGGGAGCCAGGGTGGCCACGAGCCGAGGGGTGGGCGATACCGGCGTGCCGGAGCTTGCGGCAGGATTTTTTGGCTGAGCAGGGCTGAGGGAGCTCGCTCACCCCCTGGCCAGCAGCCAAATGGCATGGCTGGGTGGCTGCCAGCACTTGCATTAATAGCTGCCAGCTTGCGGTTTGAGGTCACCCGTTCTTTCCAGTCTTTCATTTCCACCTTCGTTCGCGCCTGTAACGACCGGGAGCAGGGAGCAGCTCCGCCTCTCCTCCCTGCCCGAGCCCCTCTTCGAAGGACAAAGCTCTTTTGCTTTCCTCGGAGCCAGGACAGCACCAGCCCGTGGCACCACATCCCTACCGAGCATCCCTAGATGCCAGGAGGGGACCTGCCAGCATCCTGGGGGGACACCTTCACCCCTGTTCGTCGAGACTTCACTCAGGGGGCCAGAAAACATCTTCCCACACACTCTGAGGCAAAAAACCACCCCAAGGCCAGCGTGCAGAGGGCTCATGCCAAGGCACAGCCCCTCGCAGGATGATTGGGAGCTGCCGTCATCCCCTGCCAAGGCCTTTGGGAGGGTGTTTTATAGCTGCCTGCTATGAATAAATCTCCCTTTTCATAACAAGCTGACTGGGGATAAATGGCTCCGGGGACGTGAGGCTGGGGCTGGGTGCACACCCTCCGTCCCTCCGGGGAGGGGAGCCCCGGAGTCCCTCTTGGAACCCGGGATGGCAGGATAGGGGTCCGTCTCGCTGCCCAGATCCCCAGGGATGCTGGGGTGAGGCATCTGCTTGACGCCTCCCGGCAGGACGGGGCCAGGCGTGGCTGGTGCGAGGTGGGACGTGCGTCGGTGGGACACGCGTGGGTGGGAC